TCCCATCACCCAAACACGACCGGCAACCATTGAAATCAGAAATTTCTGGTAGATAAGAAAACGAATCAAACTTAAATTAAGTACCTGGGGCTTGAAGGATAGACGCAACCAGAAACCACGGCTGTAAAAGAAAAAAGTCACAAGAAAGAAGATGAAATCAGTGAAAACAGAGGTTAAGAAATTACAATGTTGGGAAGAGGGCTTAGGGTTTACAGGCGGTGAGGGTAACGCTGGGGGTGGCGGCGCCGGAGAAGTCGCAGCTGCCTTGGGTCTGGCCTTTTCTCTGGAAATAACTGTTGACGGCATAATTGCAGTGATCTTTGACGGTGTTGGGCTGGAAACAGGCTCCATTGGAGAGGATTGGGGAGCAATCTGCTCCAGCTCCACACGCATAGTCCAGTGCCTTTTGGAGGGCTTGTTGGTTCACCCCATCTTTACACAGGCAATAGTTCGCATCTGAAAACGAAAACAACACTTAAATTAATTACCAAAACCCACTAATTTCAAGAACTAATCAAGACCCATGAGGGAAAAAAGGGTCATCCATTAACAACACTTGAAAGAACTGTAGAGAGGGCTTACAAGATCGGGCAGTTAGGGCAAGGAAAAACACTAAGAACACGAAAGCAGCCATGATTATTGGACGCAATATTCCAGCTGATAGATTGAGAAGACACGATCCACTTAAAAGTACCGTAGAGGGAGAGGGAGAGGGAGAGAGCTCAGATTTCAAGAGGGGGGGACAAGAAAGTGAGAGCTAGGCGAAACGAAGGAAATTTAGGGGTTTCAATTTATGTTAGAAGGTGAGAAAATTAAAGGGAATGCGTAGGGGAGGGAGATTATTATTATATAGGAGCAGAGCTGAAAGCTTTTTGTTTTGTCATGTATTTGACCGTTTGTGTGAAATTCTCTCAAACGGTCTTAAACCCACGTGGGTTATCGTAACCTAACCCCACTCTCCTTTAACCCGACTGGATGGTTAAAGTTGGGTTGGGTTGGTTTGGTGCTGCCATTGCCTGCCTTTGGTCCTACGCTCTCCCTCTTTCTTCATTGAGATGTCCTTGTACTTTTCTGTTTTTCTATCAATTCCATTTTTTTACTTCTAAAATTAATGGGAAAATAAAGCATTGTTCATGCCTAATCTATAACCATTTTTCTTTTTCAAATTAAGTTCTTTTAACCCATTTTTAAATAGTTTCTATTGGGTGTAAAACCAAACATAGACATGTGACACCGATGACACACAAGGAAGGAGTAACTAAACATGTATAGCCAGCAGAACATCAATTCTGATCTACCGACAATTGATAAAAATCTGTTGAATACCAAATATGGACACTACCACTRTAGAGTCACTTCTCAAGTTAAAATACTACTTTTTTAAAGATACTCGATTTCTACACATTTTACTAAATTTGGCTCGACATCAATTAAGATTAAATTAACTTAAGTTTTGGAGTGTATGAGACCAAGCACCAAGCACCACACTGATGCAAGATTAAAATCGTTGACTTAGTCCACATGAGAGTAAATCACTTGCAAGTTGCATGTCACCTCTCTAACTCTATTGGAATTTTGCATCAAAAGTTTCTAAAACTTTAATGATTTGTTTATTTATTTTTAAATATGTATTACAAATTGAGGGTGAAACAATGGTAAAGAAAATTACTAATGTCTTTGCCTCTCCTGGTTTGGATTGATTTTTTAAAAATGTTTATTCAAAATTTGAAAGTTAAATGCGGAAAAGGTTAAGGTTTTCTTTGTACTTAAAATAAGATTAATAATTTTAATCATCCATGTAGTTTCTGTGATTGGCAATTAAAATCTCTTTTCAATTATAATCATTAATAATTTTTACTTGAAAATGATGAGAAAATCTGAGTCATTCAGATTGCCTCAGCAACATATTGGGCAGTGCAACCACAGGTAGCTACATGATAAAAAGACAAAATAAAATTTAAAAAAAAAAGTTTTGGTATACCAACAAATAAAATTTAAAACTTATTTCTTTTAAATTATTTACGTATCAAACAATTGTTAAAAAATAAGTTTAGTTTTTTTATCTGCACACGTATCATAAAATGAGTAATTGTTTTGCGTTTAGAAAAACGGTGTTTATCTATCATAGTGTATACTGTACAGTATTAGTTATCTCCTTACTCATAACCGTTGACCAAGTCCACTTAGTTTAGTCAATTCTCCACGTCCACTAATTGTACTTAAGAAATGATAATAAATAAATAAATAAAATTCATGTTAAAAATATTTTTACATGTTATCCTTGAGGTAACAATTTATCTCGTGATTAATTTGTAATAACTTAATTATTGTCTTATACTACTAAATTGGTAACAGTTGAGTTTTTTAACTTTAATATATATATTTATTTATTTATTTTAGTTTAAAATTTGTAACGATTTAATCCATACTCGAAAAATTGTTGTTAAGATTTAATACAAATACTAAATCATTGTATAACAAAAACCGACATTTAACTTTGATGAAGTTTTCACTATAGAAATTAGATTATTACATATACTAAAATTTAATGACTAAAATTTTTACTTATAGACTAAATTATTATTGCAATGAAAATACATTAACGAAAAGTATTAAAATAAAAATATCAACTTATGAAGCTTGTTCAACCATTTCTAGGTTGTTTTAACAATAACGCCCAAAAAAAACCTTTTTCAATATATCAAAATGTGAACTATTTTTTAATCTCTAACTTTAAAATAATTAAGTAATACTTTGACAAATTGAACTATACTCATATCAACAAAATATCTTTTTCTGATATATTTGACTAGGTAATATTCTAAAATAAGTCGGATGATAACTAAATGTTACAAAAATGTGGACAAAATAATTTAACTAGAAAAAAGTTTAATTCTGAACCAAAACATTGTTAATGAGAGAGAAAGCATGTGAGAGAAGCATTGAAAAGAACATATATAATGTTACCATCTAAAGCTTTTTATTTATTTTTTCCTAAAGTTCACTATCAACTTATGATTTGGAATTGGATCCTTCCAACAAAAGGGTAACGAAAGGGCAGCTTTTGGATTCCAAAACAGGCCGTATTTGGATTAAGACGTAGCTTTCTTGTCGACTTACAATTATTAACAAGTATGAGAGAATAAATTCATACATAAAGGAAGAACAGTTTCAGTTTTAATAAACAAATTTGTTGAGAGGCAAAGGGGAAACATTCTTTAAATTCCCATGGCTGCTTTTTGGGTCACTTTGATCAAAGTTTAAAGCGTTTTGTTTTCAATGATGTTTGGCAACTTTAATGCATTGAAAAGTTTAAAGATTGGACCACACAAAACTTTCATATCTTCGTTTAAATACTATTTTAGTCATTGTATTTTTTATTTGATTCATTTTAATTAATATATTTTTAAAATGTTCATTTTAGTTAGAATAATTTCATTTTCAACTCCTATTCATTTAAACTAATTTAATTTCTATTTATAAAATTTTAACACAAAATTTACCCACTATATAAATGATTTAATATAAATTTATGGTTATATTTCAATAAATATTACAAAAATAAAAATGAGTGGATCAAAATGGTTCATTTTAACAGTAGACTAAAATAAGTTTTATTTTTTAAAGCCGAACAAAATAAGATTTCTCTCTCTTTTTTTTTTTTTTCCAAATTTACCTTGTTTTATTTATTTTTAATTTTGTTTTATTTATTTGTTTTAACTCTCTTTTTAACCATTGTTTTGTGATAGATACAAAAGCCGTCGCCTTTAAAGTGATTTTCTATGGTCCCATGCATGACCCTTCGCTGCATGCCTTTTTCGGGCCCCAGAATATAAAGTATATCTTTAAATTTTATTTTATATCCACAAATTTTTATATTTACTTTAAGTTAAATTAAAATTTTTATTCAAACGTTCACAGTTAATATTTATTTGATCAATATACTTAGTTTCAAATAGTTTTAAAGCTGTAGCTATCCTAATTCATGTATTTCAAAGTTTTCAAAATATAAAAGTTCATGTATTTCAAAACAAAATTAATAAACTCATTAGCTTTCGAAACTGCGTCTGCTCCCGGTTATGTAGGGTATTTATTTCAAGTAGTTTAAATCATTTGATTGCATAACATCAAACATATACGAAATACAAATTTTAAAATATTTCTAAAGTTCAAGGACTAAATATTAAATAGACATAATTTTAAAAGTTTACAAACCTACCAACAGTGAAAAAAAAATACAATATTGAAAATTACAGAGACCAAATTTATTATTCAATCTTTTTTTATTCTGATTTCTAAATATTTGAACATTTAATTTTTTTTATAAAAACCTTAACACGTTATTTATTTGAAGAGGAAATTTTCCCAGAAAAAGGGGGTTTTTTTTTTTTTTGCTTTATTAATTGGGGTCCACTCAATTATTAGATTCCACACCATGCTGTAAAACAGTGAAAATTATCTGTATGCTTGTCAAAGATAAAACAACCAAGTGAATGACCAGTGAAATGGCAACATACTTTTTCATTACTGCACATCCCAAATTGAACTCAATCCCAAACTTTTATATATTTGTCGGTTTGAATTCTGCAAATTTGATCCAGTACAAGAGCAAAACAAGATGGGATTTTCCTGACACGGGATTGGATTCGGTTTGACAATGTGATCCGTAAATAGAGATTGTTTTTCTTTATGTAATGTATCGTCCCGATTACACAAGATCTAGTTTCATTCAAGGAACAAATTCTTGTCGAATGAACGGATCTTGATCCATATCGAGATCATTAGACGAGTTAGTTGAATTCATGCTAATAAGACGACTGAATTTGGTGCTTGGGCATTTAAGCATGTGCTGAGATTTTGCTTGAGTTTCAGGACATAAGAATTGCAAGATGTATTATTCCTGAAGTCATATGTTAAGTTGTAAGAGCATCATCCAGCAAATTACACTTGGAGATGCTCTTCTAAGTAGGGCTAAAACAAATGTCATTTAACGTCAATGAAACTTGGATAAATTTTTTCAAGTGGTTTAAGTTCATAGTTATTTGCTAACATAAGTTTAGCTTAGCCGTAATTGAAACTCGTTTATGACTCAGAGGTCACGAGTTCGAATTTCTCATCCCACTTGTTCCTACTAAAAAAAGTTCATAGCTCCTCTCTTTTTCTATCCTCTAAAAGTCTTTTATTCTCTAGATGTACAGAAGACTCTTAAGGTTAGTGATCAAGCAATTGTGTCAACTTCTGAAACTTAGGTCAATCCCCCAAGCTTCAACTGTATAGATTTATCCACGGTCGATCGCATCAAACTTCTATGATGCTGGAATTTTTGCAGCCCTCTAAAATCATGGAAAAAATTATAAGCTTTGTGTATAGTAGTACTAGAAAATGGAGAATGAAAGCTAGAAGAAGAGTTTGGTTAATCTTCTTCTTTCCCTATCATTTCATGTGTGATGCCATTCAAATAGCTGAAAAATATGAGTTTTTAAAGCAGTTGGAGATTACTGGAAAGAGCATAAATCTAACCCGTTTTTGTTCCTCCAAGTTTGCTTTAATCAAGGAGTAGATGGCGACACCGGCAATCGCTATAGCAGTACCGATTCCGGTTTGTGTTGAAATCGTATTGCCTGCAAAAGTTTGAATCATCCATCTGTAGTTGGAAAGGTAAGAAACAAAGAAACTTCTTGTTGAAAATCATATCTTTCTAAAGACTAGTAGCGAATGTAATAACTATTACATTTATATGTAACTAATGCATTCTAGTAACAGTTATTTACGCAGATTATTAACAGAAAACATACCGAAAACCACAATAGAGAACCCGATCACAAAAACTCGCTTCAATACATTTCCTACAGCATGAGTTAGAGGTGCAACACGTTCCAGAGTATTAGCAGCAAGCTGCAGAGTAAGCTCAGATGTTAGTGAAGAGGTTAAAAATCAACGGAAACAATTTGAGGAACAAGTAGGATCAAGTCAAATAAAATAACAAACATCATGTGTTCATCCAAACATCCATCATTATAATCAAATGCCTCAGATGACAGCATTTGGTAGAGAATGATCTTCTGAGAATCACAAATGAGGTTTATATTAAACCTTAGCAGAACAAATTACGAATTGGTTCCCGTCATTACCAGCCGAGTAAAGTAATTCATGATAAAACCAGTTGGAAGAATGGACACAACAACCGGGGGTGGTTGTCTTTGTCCAAACTCCAAAGACAACCTTAAAGAAATCATGTTGATAGACAGACTACCTGATTGTAGAGATGATAAAACATGCCAATCCAGAAAAGATCAGACAGGAATTTTTGTAGGCCCACTTTGGCAATGGCATCCTTAAAGCCGTGCTGCAGCAACTGTGGTCCCTCAATCTGAAAGCCAGCTCAAGGGTGCAATGTTATTTATGAAAGCAACTAATGAAGCAAACGGCTTTATGGACAACTTCACTTACCATTACTGCAGGAGGGATGCAAAACAAAAGAGCGATTATCGAGGTGTATGCATACACGTTTGTACTGTCCATTCCAGTCTGTTAAAGAAAAAGTTACTTCAAACAAATGAAAGAAGAAAACAGTAAAACCGCAAGTAAAGATTTTCAGTTGTTACCATTGCCTTCTTGGAGTAGATGCTTCTATAGGTAAAGGCAATGTTTGAAATCATTGCACTAATAAAGCCAGTCCAATTGAAGGAAAGTTCCGTTAGCGATGCCATTGACACACCTAATGCAAATATTATTGAATTTAGAAAGAAAAAAAACTTACCGAGAGAAGTTAAGTACAAACCAAATCAAGTGTAGATGAAGGCAAGATGTTATTGAGTTACCTAAAACAACAGGTGCCAGAGAAAGCCACAAGCTGATGGGAATTTGGTGCCCCAAAACAAATTGGGAAGCAGCAGCGTTAAAGAATGGCTCCAGAGCTAGGAAAAAAGTGTGAAAGGAATATTAGGAACTTGTTGGTTTTCAAACTTCAGTGAAAATCCTAATCTACTAGTCACAGAAAGATTTTCTTCTGTTGCCTGTATTCCAGTGCGAAAACGAAAAAGCGTGGAATAATACATATCATTAACTAAGATATTGAGGTACAACTCTTTTTCAATGGTATAGTTCTGCAGCAATGAAATTCTATAAAGAAATCTATGATAATTGTCATCTCCATATCGTCTGTTTTAAGCAAAATAACTGAGAATGTTCCAAGCATTAATAGCAGTTTCTAAGGAATTGTAAGTGAAGGGTTCTGTACCTTTAATGGTGTGAGTGAAGGACACAGCAACAGCTGCAAATGATACATTTGACATCACATGTCCAAGAGCATGACATAGCGAAACTGGAGTTAATAATAGCAAGAGCTCCTTATCCATTGGCTAGCAAGAAGGAGAACTTTATTAGAGAAAACTACATTATAATTTCTAATTCTCTACCTACATAGTAGAGAACTGAAACACCGAATTTAGGAACTTACAGCACGTTTTGGCAGACCAACAGCCCAAGAAATGAGACAATATCCAACACCAACAAGAAGATGTATGACAGAGACAAAACTGCAGAATAGGGACACGAAAAACTCATAAAGAGGCGCAAGTCTTCATGAGAGCTCATGAAGAAGAAAAATTGATGCAGTCAAGCAAACAAAACACAGTCCTCAGAAGCAAATGCCAGAGAGATAAAACACAAAGTAATGAAAGAAGTAACTTACTATGGATATGGGAAATAATTGTAGACCCTTTTGTTGAGTATGTTGAAAATAACATTTAAAAAGTACCTGCCGTGAAAGATAAATAATTGACATCTTTGAATCGAAATTAAATATACTTCATTGAAAAAGACTGATAAAACAAGAAGATGGTTCTTCTTTCTTATGTCTCTTAACTTGGCCATCTAAGAAAGTATTGTCCCAAGTAAAGAGAGATTAAGAATCAGCGGTTTATAAACAAGATAAAACACCAACGAAATGACATGAATCAGTTGGGTTCTGAAGGCAGAAAGGGAAAGGAACTGCATACCACATAAAGAAGTAGAAACCAGTAACGAGTGCTGGAAATCTTGCAGCAAAGCTCTTCGAAGGGCTAGTCAACCTGACTTTGAAGATAATTGCATCAACTTAAAATTTTAAATAACAAATGGGGAAAAAGAGAAGAAGGATTGAGTGACAAGTGATTTGTTAAATAAATTGTAGGGAGAAACATTCTGCACTTTCCTTGTAACTAGCTCTCTGAAATTAACTATGTTCTAAATTTATCCAAAAATTGATTAGGAAATTATCCAATTCTAGACAACCGAGCACCAAAAAAATTAGCTATAGGAACTTCTCAATCTGAACTCCCAAAAAGCCAAACCCAGCCCTCCAGTCAAGTATCCAAGGAAAGTCCAAATTCATGATCAAAACGGCCAAATTCAGTTTAGAACTACAAAGAATCAATACCCATAAAAGAAAATTCTTGTAACAACCAAAAATGCCTACACCTAGTCTACAATCTCCAAGAAGGAAAAGAAAACAACTCGCCTGATCGAGAATAAAAAAAATTCCAGAACTTATTTGAGTGCATACTGATGAAAGAAAAATTTAAATTCAAAAATTGACATAATCAGTTGAATGCATCGAAGTTTACAGCCAGAAACTATGAACTAAAATATGACTAAGAAAAAGATAAAGATCATAGGTATCGAACCCGTCGCGTGTTCCGTCAGCATCAGCTGCAGCGGCCCTCACCACCGGTCGATGAACAACACCTCGCGACTTTAGCGGTTGTCGACAGCTTAAGAACCCGATAGCCCTGCCAGATAATTCTGCCGACGGCGAAACCGCCGAGTTCAAAGCTTTAGAAGCAAGTGATCGAGATTTGGGGGCGACAAAATTGGCGGGAAAAGTTCTTTTCGGGGGGACGCGAAGGGAAGACAACCGATGGGTACAGATTGGAGAGTGAATCACGTTCGTCATCAAAGCCATCGCATAACCCAAACAAAAATCAAGCCAGAGAAGACTATAATACAAGGCCCAAAAACAGGGGAAATCAACGAAAAACGGTGAATCGGAAGTTCAGTTCGATTGTTGAAGAAAACAGAGGCGCGAGTTGAAAGGGTTGTGTTGGATTCTACTGAGTGACTGTGAACTGAAAATGAAATGCATAATCCAAAGAGAGAAATTCTGTGAAAGAGGAATTGAGAGTCTGGGAAAGGAGATGAAGATCCGATGGAAGTTTTATATTCCTTTATTCTTCAGAACTTCGTTCAGAGGAGAGATGTGATTGGATTTCCGTTTCCCTCTAAACTGAAACATTTGACTTTTTGCTTCCATTACAGGCTCGTGGTTCTTAACGAAAGAATCTCTCTTTGGAAAGTAAGAACATAAATAATCAAACATTGCCAAATTCATGCACCACGACCATCAAATTTTCCCTTTTCCAAGATAAGTATATTATTTTCCTTTACCTTTTATATCTACAACTCGTACTGTGTAAATTAAGAAGCACGTGTCTGGTGTGTCTAAAAGTTGGAAGTTTGAATCTTTACCTTAAAAAAATAATAATACTAAATTAAATCTAGAATGTTTAATTTTTTTTTATCTATGTTTTGAGATTTGATTTTGTACTCAAGGGTTGATCGAGCTTGTGATCTACCACCACCCTTACCTTTTAGTTTGTCGGTCTAGTTGGCATCCCTATTATCTAAGATTTCGTTTTTTATATCTTTTTAAATTATTATTTTGATAGGAGAGATGAATATTTTAGTAAGAGTAGGAACATAGGGCTCGCTCGAGACACGAGCCCGAGCGCAATTAAGAGATCCTTTTTTTTTTAGCTTTTAAGATTAATTATACATATTGCGAAAAGAATATTCTTAGATCAATAATTGGAAATTTTATACTCTTTCAAGAAGATGACATGAGACCAAACTTTGTATTATAAAAAACTGTTAATTTATATTATAAAAGTAAAAGGTGACATAAGTATACTTCAGCCATTTAAAAAAAATGGTCAATATATTATTTATTATTTAATTTCTTAAATATCAACGGGTACAAATCTTTCCTCCACGTGTAATTGAAAAATAACATAAAATAAAAAGAAAACTATAATTGAAATGGGATGCATGAAATTTGAAGTCTTTTCCTACTACGATAGGTGTGAGATATATTATTCAACATAAATAGGTTAACAGTAATTGACATTTATTTATTCTCTTGAGATTAGAAGTTCAAAACTTTCTAACTCTAATTTACTGTACTAAAAAAGAAATGTGTGGGACATACAAATTTGAATTTCTTATAGTAGTAAATATTTTTACTATAAACTATGCCTATTTGGCAGTGAAAAAAAGCATGCGCAGTGTAAGTTGGTCAAAAAAATTAATTATTTTCTCAAACTGTTTTTAAATTTTGATATTAGGATTGTTGCTTTCTCATAAATAGTTAAATAAAGAGGGGTGACGAATATATATGAAGACGCAAGGTGTGGTCCAAACTGTTGCTAATTGTCAGGCAAGTTATTTAATAAGTTATTATGATTAGTTTAATTCAATATTTAGGTCATATTTTTCTCGTAACAGGAGTTGTGATCGAATTCAAAACCTTTGATTTGAGATATATGTCAATTATTGTTGAACTATGATATTCTTGACATATTTAGATCATATCACTCACTGCTCTAATGATTAGAAAATAAAAAAGTTGTCCATGATGTCAAATGTCAAACTATGATGCACAAAACGGTTGTATCGATAAATTACAACTTAAAAAGGAGTGAAATTTTAAACTTACAATCTATAAAAACTATTGTTTATGTCCTCATCAATTGAACTATATTCAATTAGATCATGAATAAGGTTAATTGAATATAGTTCAAATAGTTAAAAGTATTTATTTACGATTTAAGTACTTTGAAACAAAATTTAGTTCATACACAAGTTTTTAACTTCCCTCCTCCAATTAAAGACAAAAGTTGTGAAAGGGTTAGAGAATACGACATAACAATCCGAGAGATAACATCCTTTAGCTAGTCTATGAGCTGTTGAGTTTTTACCGTGAGAAAATATGTTGTATTCTACTTAAAAATCCATAAGCTCTCCAATTCAATTAACTTGAGCATATTTCAAGTGATTAAAGACCAAAATGTTATACGGTTTAAATCTCTACTCTCACATATTATATTAAAAAAAAAATCTCTTTCGCAACGAGTTGGAACATGGTTTGTGCTCCCAATAATCCCTCCATCGAATGAAGGATGTTAAGCCTTCTCTTGAAATGGTCATCAAATGACAAAAAGCTGCATTTATAACTTTTAATTAAATCCAATGCATCAATTAGTACCGAATTTAAAAATAATTGAGTACTTAGAATTATACCATCCAATAATTAATTATAGTAAACCAATTATCCATGATAAATGATAAAATCATAGATAACGCAAGCCAAAATAATGGTCATTTATTAATTGAAAATGATCACATGGCCACTTCACTCATATTTCAAAAATTTGAAATTATTTTTTTTATATATATAGTTTGTGGATGTTTTGAATCTCGGATTTCAAGGGGGAGGAGTACACTTGGTAAATTATGCAAGAAATCAATGGGCCGAAACCCTAAAGAAGAAGCCCACGATCTTCAAAATGAACGTGGAGCATGTTGGGCCGGCCCAAAGTATCTGAAGAAACAAACCGCAAACAAGTTTCATCGTCGAGGTTCCCGTTCCCGCGGATCAAACAGCCAAAACCCTAACCCAGAAATCACGGGAAAATTTTTAATTACAAAATTCGGTTCAATCTGGAGGGAAAAAGAAGAAAAAAAAGAAAAAGGGAAAAAGAAAAAAAGAAGAAGAAGAAACAGAAGAAACTAAAAACTCTCGCAAAACCATTGCTCTTCGACACACAGCATATTTCCCGATTGATATTTTATATACATGGAAAGCGGCGGCAAAGGGAGAGAGGAAGAGCAAGACGGCATGTCTGTACACTCTCCATGCAAAGCTCCACCGTCCTCCGCTTCATCTCTTCCCAAGGTATCTCTCTCTCTTCCTCTTTTCAGACATTGTTTTGTAATCGTAGGAGTTTGATTTTGTTCTTTTTTCTTTTGTATGTTGTGGTTAGGAGCAACCACAGGTTGAATTGGAAGTAAAATTGTTGGAAGCTCTTGAAATTTATCCACCAATCAAACTACAAGGCAAGTTTGCATTGACTATTCTATCTGGTTTCTAATTGACTCTAATATCAAGACGTGAGTACTTCATCGGTTTTCGAGTCTGTTTATCCTCACCATCATCTCGCTGAATCCTTAATTTTAATCAATGAGTGAGAAGTTAACCTATTTACTATTTCTGTATTCAGTGGTAATGGTCGAATTTATTAGTATTATTATCATTTTGCGTTTTTTTGATGATTAGTGTTATGGAGGACCTGAAATTACGAATGGTGCAGACATTTCTTATGGCTACGAGGAATAGCTGGAAGAGAGTACTGAGCGAAAAATAAATTTGGGAATGTCATTCTGTTATTCACCTAACTAAGGCTTCTACCGGTTAAGAAAAGGGAGGAAATATTTATGAAGTGAATATGCTAAAAACGATAAAATTTTTGTAATCTTATGCCACTATGGAGAATTTAAGCAGTCAATTCTCATCCTTCTCTGATACTCAGTCTTAGACTTGCGAAGAATTCCAGATGACTGCATCTCGTGTATGGGTGCTTTTTTTCCCCTTCTATATACCAGCCTACTGTCAAAGAACTATAAAGAAGTTGTATTTTATATTTTTCGAAATGCCTTTTATATGCTGGCCCAAGATGATGCAAGTGTCTAATTTGATACAGCTTGAGCTCTAACAATTTTTAGTTTCATTCTTTTTCATACAGGCATACATCGTCATTTTGTCCTCTTTGGGTTGATGGAATTTCTTCGAAGAAGGTTTCCTCTGCTCCATGTACCACCTTCTTTAGTTTCTTTTACTTAGCTTTGACTATAAATTACGGTGGCTTCTATAGTCTCTTTTTTGTACTCTATTAGTTTACTATCTTCTTGTCACAGCTTTGATCGGCAGTTCTCTTCTGATGAGGTTCTACAGTTGTTGGATCGTTTCTATAACTTGGAAATGCTGGTAAAAAGAATCACTAATGCCTCCTCTTTTTTTTCCTCTTGGTTTTGTCCGGCTGTTTGCTTCATTTTATCTGAAAAGGAGGATAAACTAAATAGCATAAATATATATAAGTGAGAAAATTCACTTTTTCTACATTCACTATTTTTGAAAGAACAATTTACTAGTTCCTAGTTATCATATTTATTCTGGAAGGCAATGAATTTGTGACATGTTTGGGAACATCATAAGTAGAGCTCTGACCTGATATACATTATATTCACTTTCTTTTGAAGAAGATGTCGATTCCAGCTTGATTAGAAAATATGTCTTGAACTTTATCACATTTACATATTAAAATTTGATTTTTTGAAGAGTTAGAACTAATAACGAGGGGTGAGTAATTTTTTTTAATCCACTATTTTTTGGTTGTCCTTTTGATAACTGATGGGATATATGTGCTAATATTGCTTTTCTTACCATCACACTGTATTTCAGAAGCCAGATGAGGAGGAGATGGAAATTCTGAATCACGAGGAAGATTTTTGCTTACCACAAACCTTTTTTGTCAAAGAAGAATCTTAAGAGATTATTCAAATGGATTAGTACCTTAACGCTACCTGGTATACAGTAGTTTTATTAATTTTTATCTACGTTCTTCCCCTTTTTGTTCTGTAAATGTCAATATAGAAGCTTTTGCTGGTTAGTATAATTCAATATTATTTCCCTTTACAAGAATGAATACTTTAGTGTCCATACACGAGGCAATTATACTCAATTGAGCTAACCATTTTTTGTATTCATGCTGATGCTAGCTTTACTCTTTCTGACATGCCATACTTCTATTAACATGCTTTCCAATTTAGGAGTTGACATTTCTTTCGTTTTTGTGCTGATGCTGCCTGAAGTCTGTCTAGCACGAGATAGATTTATCAATATGTACCACCTACACTTTCATATGTCAAGTAAATCATTTTATTTCCTGTAATTCAATAGAGAATTGGAGGGAAAACCCTAGAAGGATAAGAGTTCAATTGTGACAACCACTTCTTTCGTGACTATAAAGTGAACCAGGAAGTATATCCATCAAGGAGGCTGCCTCATAGAACTCCCCATCATTAAGAGAACGAAGGAACTCAAACGAGAGGAGAACAAAGCACCAATGGGTGCATTAGTGCATGCAGACAAATAATAAATGCGTAGAAAAGTAAGTAGGCAAAGGACAACTTTTAGTCCAATGATTCTCCTGTAACCGAACACGAGTCCCATCCCACAGAGAAAGAGACGAGCTATTTGACCAAATTTGATTATTGAAGATACTTCCCCGTGAATTTCTTGGAGTATTAGTAATAACAACATTGGAGTTCCACTAGTAAGCTTTTAACCTGTGTATACACTCACAATTGCCTTATGCCATGGAGACTTGCTACAAAGTAAATAGCAGAGCCACTTAGCTAGAGGGAACTATTCTTTTCAACCAGGTTTCCAACATAAAGATCCACTCGGTTTGTACCTTACGAAATGTCACTTCAATCCACCCGATGAGACCTACCTTCCTCAAAATCCTCTCTTAAAAAGTCTCCCATTAGACTCTCAATCTTTCTAGCCTTCAATGTAGGGATTAAAAAAAAAAGGAATCCTAAACATTGATTAACCTTTAGAAGGTCTTCTGTATCTTTTCCTAGACTAAATCCCAAAAGGAAAGGCTTTTCAGTTTATGATCAAGGGAGGAACCCGATAATTTACAAGCAGTTTGGCAACTGCATACCCAGAGTTTTAAGGTCTAAAGAGTAAGATGCACCTAATCCTTACTTATCCTAAAGCCTTCATAATAACTTATCGTAGTTTTCACTTCCTCTGAAACTTTCTGCTGAGAGTATCCATAACCTAATTCCATTTGGTAGCGAGGACTGAGGATTTAACCCCTCGATTTACAATTGACAAGGAAAATAAGTCAACTAATCTCGAACAATTACATGTACAAGGATGCCATTTTCCCCAAAGGATCTTGTCAAGTAACTCCTAGTCCTATATGATCTTTACTTTCTCAAAAAATCAATTTTGCAGATAACTCACCTTGTTTATGAAGTTGATTGTCCTCAAGATCATGGTTAACAATCAGTATTTTATCGACAATTTGTCTCCGTGCAACAGAGCTCCTTGGCAATGGGACACTATAAAGGAACCACTGCCTAAATCTCTCGGTTAACGTTTTAGAAAGAGTCATATAGAGGTCAGCTACAAACTAATTTACCTAAAATCCTTCTCACGGGCTACCTCAGACTTCTTTGGGAGAAGGCTAGAAGGCAAATAAAGGTTTTATTAATTCATGAATCAATGGCACTCCTCTCAAGTAATCCTTAGAAGGCTTTAAATGGCTAATCCTTTCACAACCTCCCAATTACTTTGATAAGAACGGCAACGAAAACTCTTATCCCCAACGAGACTAAACGGAACCCTGTTGATTGCACCTTTCAGGTATCCCTCAAAACCACTCCTTACTCAACCCTGTTATAAGTTGCCGATGAAGATAATCAGACCTGGCTCCCTAGTTGGAGCGTTCAAAGAGAAAAATTAGAGACTTTCCCCTACATTATCCTATAGAAAAAGGCAATATTACAAGCTCTTGGCCCATTTCAATTTCTACTTTTGGCATCAACTAACCTCCTTGCTTTGCAACAGAAGCTCCAACTCACACTTCACACTCTTATCCGTTAGGTCTTATTACTTTGGATCGGAGCCATTTTTTGTATAGCTAGTTGTTTGGCTCCTTTGGCTTTTCCTTAATTTTTTTTCTCAATAAAGTTTTTTGTTTCATAGAAACTCACGCTTCACACCCAATCTTTTTTTCTATCAAGTATCAACAAAGGAGAGCCTTCCTTCACATTCCCGGTCGTCTAGGAACGAAAGATGTTCCCATTTCACTCTTGGAGCTTAGGTTTGATATTATTCAATATCATAAACTTGAACCCTTCCCTCACAGACACCTTCCACCTGACTAATCCCTCCAAGAGGAAGGTCCACTCTCAAACCACACATATTTGACAAAATAGGCTACCGATCAGACACAACAAACCAAAGGGTAGAGCAGAACTCTGGGCTTATAAAACATCTCTAAGCCATGAAAAGTAAAATAATGAATCCATCCAATTTTCAACACGTGGTATTTTCATGAAGCATGTAAACTTCCCATCAACTTGTTTCACTTGGCCTTTCTCTTGCCTATACCTAGAAGGGCCGTAAACTCTTGTGAGCCCCCCACTGGGGTTTTAGTATTCAAATTAGCTTACAGAGTCGGAAAACAAAGAAGAATCTTTAACCACCTCTACTCAAGGACTCCTACACTTTTTTTTTTTTAATACAACATGCAAAAGTGGGATTTTAAACTCACAACATTTTGATCGGAGAGAAATGTGTTTTATTTTATTAGAACAGATAATGTCAACGAGTTTCATAGATTTTTGTATAAATATTCCCGGTAAACTTTTTTTTTAGAAAAATCCCTTCTTAGAGAGTTACAAAAAAACTTCTCCAATTGGATATGAGAGAAGAAAAGCTATAGTAAAGAAGCAGGAGAACATTTATGCCAAGTAACCAAAAAAAATTATAGCATAAAAAACGGTCAAAGGAGCATTTACACTGTAAGCTTATAAAAGCCTCTCAGAGGAAATAATCGTTGCTTTTTCTTTATGGCCCGACTAGTTAATAGAAGTTGCTTTTTCTTTATGGTACTAACTAGTTAATAAATTTTCAATTTATCAATACTTCCATATTTGTGGTTGGCTATTATTATGCTAATTTGCACCAATGAAACCCAGTCTCTGAGCTAGCTGTCAAGAAAATAATCGAGCCTTAGCTACTGCCACCAGCAAATTGAACTTGAAGAAAGCATCTCAAGTTTATGACTTTAACAGCAAATTGTCCTCTCCCAATAATAGCCTAACGCATTATTTGAGATAGATGTACTAAATTACATTACAGACAATAATGGCACCCTACAATCAAAGCCCATGTGCAAGCATTTGACATCGTAAAGAGGTGTCTAGCACAGCACTCCATCAATGCCATAAAAATCTAAACCATCCATTTTTTCCCAAATTCGATCAACGTAGTTTACACTTGAAAATTCCCACAAAGAAAGAAAAGAGGGGGGGAGGGGACGAACGAGGAAATGACAAATTAATACTTTAAAAGTTCAACCCAATGCCGTGAAACTAAAACTGGGGAAACAAAGATTTCAATAAATCGATTCTAATTAATCTCTCTGGTTTTGGTTGAATCAAGAAGTAGCTAATATAATCGAAAGCCACCATTGTTTGGGTCCATAGTCCATCATGGTGAGTAAAGGTGATGTCCCGTCCGATCGCTGCGTGAGGGGGCTATCTCATTTTACCTCGGGGGCTGGTGCGGCGGGTTTGGAATCTTCACCTTTGAAGTTCTCTTCACCTACATAAAAGCATTACAAAGTAAGTCAAGCATAAAATTAGCATATTTCATCTAAATGGGAGCATAATTCCAGCATTTGATGATTAACAAGCACTAGTGGGCAGGGGATTGTGTAAACCATGTGTTTTCCAGCAAGCACAAAAACTGGTTTATATCTAGACTCAGCTAAAAAATACCTCCATCTTCTGGTAAATCAGATGTCCAGAGAGTGAGATTGTCTCTCAGCAACTGCATTATGAGGGTACTGTCCTTGTATGATTCCTCACTCAACGTATCTAACTCTGCAATTGCCTCGTCAAAAGCTTGTTTAGCCAAGTGGCAAGCCCTGAAAGAATTGGAATAAGTTAGTCAACTAGTCATTGGCATGGACTTAATTCAAGAAAAAAGCTACTTTTACCTTTCAGGAGAGTTCATAATCTCATAGTAGAAGACAGAAAAGTTGAGAGCAAGGCCAAGACGGATCGGGTGGGTTGATGGGAGTTCAGTATTTGCAGTACTTGAAGCAGTCTATCATGAATTCGGAAAAGAGCACATCGAGTAAGATAGTTGACGACTAAAAATCAAATCAATCAATTCTTGTAAATGAAAGTTATAGAAATAAACATGCCTCGTATCCCTTCAATGACTGATCAGCTGCCTCCTTTCTATCTTGATCTGTTTTGAACTCGGCAAGATATCGATAATAATCACCTTTCCTAGAATCATCCATGCCATAATGTATTATTAGAGATCTCATCTCAAACGGTCATTAAGCAGAAAAAATATTGGTTGAAATGAATGACTCGCATAGAACTCACATCTTATAATAGAAAACTGATGCTTCTGAAGAGGTTGAAGATGGGATGAGATGCTTGTCAATAATACTCAGAATATCGATGCAGATCTTGGAAAGCTCCTCCTCCACCTTCTGACGGTAACCCTTAATAAGTTTAACGTTATTCTCATTGCTTTTGGACTCTTCCTTCTGTTCAATCGAAGACATGATGCGCCAAGAGGCTCGCCTAGCACCTATAACATTTTTGTATCCCACAGAAAGCAAGTTTCTTTCCTCGACGGTTAGCTCAACATCTAGTTTAGCAACCCTCTTCATACACTCCACCATTTCTGTGACATTAGAATACAAAAAAATACATAAAACTTTATCGCACCGTATATTTTCAAGAATTGATAAAATATGAACAGCTTCCTTCATCATCGGATGAAACGGTGGACTTATATTACATTTGAATTACAAGACACCGCTTACATGGTGATGTGAAATATTTAAGACCTGGACATGAAAAATACGAACTCCATTCCAAATTCAAGCTAAAAAACAACCAATAAATTGGAAAGTGAGACAGCTAACAACGATAAGCCATTCACATTCATAAACGCCATCCGTCCATATAATCCGAAACACTCAATAATTCAGTTCCTACCTTATTCCTATCCTATAATCAACAACAGGAATTCTCATATCAATCTCTAATTACGGATAAATCACACGTGCATCCAATCTAAGAAAGTAAGGAGTAGTAACGCAATCTAATCGCGATAACGGAAGCAGACTATTTCACACATACACGACGGCATTTCGCAGAAATCAAGCGACATTTTGAGTTCAAAAGTAGAATGCAGAGGAAGTTGAGATCGAAACCGAAATGGCAGGATGAAGAAGGAAGAAGGGAAGGCGTACGTACCGTCGTAGCGTTCGGCCTGTTCGGCGAGCTTGGCCATGTAGACCTGGGTCTCTCTTTCCTTCTCGGCGGAGGACATCGTAGGGTTCACCGGAGCTACAGAGAAATGGAGAACTGAGAAACGCGGGCGGAAGAAGAAGAAGAAGAATGTGAAAAGGAAGAGAGATTGATCGCAATTTAGAGGAATATAAAAATAGGGGAGAGGTTGACGAATGACGCGGGGGAGGGGCAAGATCGGATCTGGGCCGTCCGTGTAGGGGTATAAGGGGAATTTCTCAAAGTGAAAAGCGCGCAAATCGTGTTTGGCTGTTGTGTGCTGGTGGGGTGTTATACGACGTCGTGTTAGTTGGATTTGTTCAAATCGGGCGATCCGATTGGACGGTCTCTCTCGTCTCTTTCGTGCCTGGATGTGATATATCTGCTTTCGGCGATACCATTTTTTTCTTTTTTCTTTTTTTTTCCCTCTCTTTTTCAATCTTAATTTTCAAAATTATATATTCTCTTTATTTTCCTAATATATAACAAAAATTTGAAGGAAAAAAAAAAGGTAAAAAAGGATAGGTTAGATAGGATCAAATTTTGGTGTGTTTGATATGTTGGGAATGACAAATATTAAAACTTTTTGTTGTCCCACATCGGAAGAATAACCTTTGGGAAGTTGGTTTATAAGCATTAACTCAGTATTAAGTTTATAAACTTGGTGTGAGGTAAGTCAAGACCAAGGCCCACACGAATGATTCCTAATCAATCACTTTTAAGATAACTGACTTTAAAATGATTATTCAAAAAAATCATTATAAAAATCTTATATATATTTTTTAATATTATATCACAAATACAAAATGTAATATATGATCAAAAAATTCATATTTTATATTTTAAGGTAATAAACGTAAATGGAGATTCGAACTCATTTTTAAAATTAGATGTCTTAATTAACTGAGCTAAATTAAAGTCAGTAAAAAAATACAGAAAAAAAAGTGCCAGGAGTACTTAAGAACCTCAGATGAAAACGATATAAATGAGATTTGTAAATTGATTAATTATTAAGATCGTTAAAGGAATGTACTAAAAAAAAATATTGTTAAAGGAAAGTGGGAATTCAGTACGTAACTTACAATAGAATATATACAACCAATATGCCTTTCAATTTTCAAAGGGGATGTAGCTCAAATGGTAGAGCGCTCGCTTTGCATGCGAGAGGTACAGGGTTCRATACCCTGCATCTCCAATTTTTCTGGCATTCTCTTTTAAATTATTTGTCATATCATCGACACACTTGAATATGCGTTTGCTGTATCCAATAATGGCAAAGATTTTCATATCCCAAATTTGCTGTGCACTGTTTTATCTTTTTAAAGGAAAATATTGTACGGTCAATAATTCATACAAAATATATTTATATAGTTGTTCAAAGTATTGTTTGAAATGGTACTAAAAAAAAGTATTATTTGAAATTTCTTTCTTTTTCCTAAAATGAGGAAATATAACGGTTATAAATAGGGATCAGGTATAAAATCACCTCTATTTTTTTCTCCGAAAAATTCAACCTCTAACCTTTAGAGAAAGAAGGGGGACATGATAAAAAAATTTTAATTTTACAAACTAGATCCAACATTAAAATTTATGAATTATATTTATAATTTAACTTTATGATTATATATTTCTAGAAAACTATGAGAAAAGAAATCTACCATCTTTGGCACCTCATTGCTTACAAATTAAATCAAAGTGTTTATGTTCATCCATTTAACCAACTCAAATTACAAAGTACACTTTTTTCTTCTTCTTTAATATTACATTCAAACAACATTTTTAACTTAGTAAATAAATCATACTTCTAATTAGGGTGAAAACTTATCTTTTCTCTTAAATACAATAAATGTAAGAGGGAGAATTTTTGAACCTCCGAACTTAAGAAAAAATAGATACCTTAATCGCTATGCTCATGTTGGCAGGAGAATTTGAAATGCACATTCATGTAGGCATGTTGTAATATTTTGTCCAACAAAGCATGAATTCATGTCTTGAACACTTCATATTGCATCCATAGTATGAAATTTGATATTCTCATTCATATAATGAATATTGTTTTTTCCTATTTTCAAACATTCAACTTATGAAAGGGAAAAAAAGGAAAAAAAAGGACAATCAGGAACAATGTTGACATCTTTACCAGTTACCACAGTTTTTGGTTGAGAGGAAGAGAAAATTGCCCTTAAATTTCGTGGCAATTTGACATTCTTTCCCAAAAGAAAAAGGAAAAAGAAAATCATGGTTCAATAGAAATAACATGGTCTCTCAGTATCAAAATAATGAAGATATTTTAAGGATTAAAGCCAGAAGGGGGGGTGAGGAGAGGGGGATAAATGAATTTCTAAGAATAGACTGTGGCAAAAATGAATTGCAGCTATTTCTGCGAAAAATCTCAAAATCTAAAGATTCCACACGTGCCTCAATTTCTAGTCATGGACATCGTCGGATTGGATCCATCAGGCTCATCATGATTATATGAACTCCCTATTACCCTGTGATAACCAACCAATAAAACAAATTCAGCTTCGTTTCTGAAGAAACCATTTCTTATCTCATTTGAGAAACAAACAATACTTGCTTTTGGAGTAAATCTTAGCATCTAGTGAGAAAAAAGAGCAAAATTGCTGAATCAAATTCCTAGACTTGAGTACCTATTAGCAACAATGAAGAACACAGACAATGGAGAAAGAGCTACTACATTCTTTTTCTTACTGTGGCTTCCATTGCTGAAAATAAACTATATATCAGGAAGGAATCTGCTTCAGCTAGCCTTAAACAACTAAAACAGTGTTTGCAACCATCTAGTGTTTGTGTTTTAATCATTTAAATCTTGGGTTTTGGAGTCTTACTAAAATGCCAACAAAAACATGAGAACAGAAACTGCAGATCTCATGGCAAATATTTCAGCAGGCATAGAGGAATTACCATAGCAAAACAACTGTACACATTCCCGTTGTGAGATCCCACACAACAAATCGGTCATTTTTTCACGAAAGGTTTCTGGCAAACAAGGAGTCGCTGGTCACTGCCATTCTGGATGTCAATCACCCTTGCCTCCCAACGAATCTGTGTAGCAAGCATCCGTGCCTTCTCTATCGGTCCAACTTTGTCGTGCAGGATAACCCATCCCTGAAAAACAACAGTCAAAATGATCCAATATTTGCAGTTGCAACAAGGGGAAAAAAGGACCTGCTTGATTGTGTGGACCAAGTATGGAGGACTAGTACCTCAGGGCGCAGTATACGATCCATCTCCAGTAATAATTCGATCATGCCGCACCTACTTGAAGACAGCTGTGAGAGGAGCTCATTTGCATGGAGCAAATCGTATGTTCGTGGATAAGTAGGGAAAGGTTCGCACCTACAAACAGACGGGACATTAAATCTCATTCAAAGTGTCCGTATATTTTCGGGGTGGGAGTAAGAACCAGAGAAACAGTTACATCATGCCGTTTATTATTATTTTGGCATGGTAATGATTCAGATACTTATTGCTTCTCGATTTTAATTTTTTAAATAATGCAAAGTAAAAGAATTATAAAGCAAGAACTAACATTGAGCTTCCATAACTGAAAGCTATAAGCACAAAATTATGCAAAGTAAAAGAATTATAAAAGCAAGAACTAACATTGAGCTTCCATAACTGAAAGCTATAAGCACAACATGTAACATCGATAAAAAGTTGAATATTTGTTCTTTTAAGAAAAAGGTGAGTGTTGTGCAAAATAACAAACACCAAGATGTTTTCAATTCCATAACTTGGCATAAATCATCTGGACCAGAAAGTACGCAATCTGCTCTTTTAAATAGAGATTTTTTATGAATACTGAAAGTTAGACCCCCATACCAATCATGCAGAACACCAGCAAAACCTTGATCAAGTATGAGCGGAAGCGTATTGCGAGAATCAACAGGCACAACGTTCATGACCCAAACTGTTTTCTTCTCCTCCACAAATGCAGCATTTAGACCCCCATAGTGGGCATTCATGTCCATCACATTTCGAATCATGTTAAATGGAGGTAGTGGATCTTCATCACCAGGCCTCTTTGGATGGTCAGAGAAAATTAAAGGCGTTAGTAAGGACCAATAGTTTTTCAAAGCCGATCGCCAAATTTGTAAGTCATCAGAGTAGTCTGCAGATCGAACTCCTGCAGATATGGACACAGGAAAAGAATCAATAGCAGCATGAAGTGCAGGCTAAGTTCCAGTGCCAACTGTACAGATCAATATAACACGAAAAGAACAGAAGATAAAAAGGTTCCATTATTAACACAAATATGTTCCATGGCTCTCAGTCAAAGATGGAGTTGTTTCATGATAACAAATTTGGTATAAACTACAAATTTACATGCCAAAAAACAATATATATATATATATATAGAGAGAGAGAGAGAGAGAGAACTATAATGGAAGAATACTTTCCATGAACTTCAAGTTCAGCTGAACTCAAATGGGAACCAGAAGACCTGTTCTGGATTGGAATCCATCGCTTGCTGGTAGTACTACTTAAGCATGGTACCAGATGTTGATAATATGATGGAGTATCATGCCCTTCTTTACAAAGTGGTAACACTTCCTGCTTGCTAAAAAGAAGAAAGCAATCGAAGCATTACTAAATTTTTATACAACAATTACCAACAACGACAGTAAAGCAGCAAGTGCAATCAACAAATTGTACATTATAACATGGAATGGAGAAGACTGAAGTTCAAAAATCAACGCAACAGGAAATTAACTCGAAGGTTATTTAGGAGGTAAATGAGTAGTTTGGCACTCACTGAGACAAATAGCACTGAGGATCTGTAGTTTTCTGCCAAATATAAGTTTCATATTGCTGAGCCAAAAGACTCCAACATAATCTTTGGGTCATCTCTTCCAATGGTGTCAAAATATTTATCCTCTTGGTAGACAGTGAACTTCCAACTGGCTTGCCTGTGGGAGTGGTTAAAACAAAATAACCTCCAGGTCTTAGTAACCGGTCAGCTTCAATAAGGAACATCCCACCTGCCATCATTCATGAAGCAACAAAACAAGAGAAAATATCAAGTCAATTAAACTATACTAGTACTGAAAAAATCTCACATATGATACAAGAAAATAATATGCATACATTTAGTTGTTTGTGGTTCCTA